TTCCCTCCTGATCAGCTCTTCTCCTCCTGCCCCTGAATCCCTGAAAGAGGAGGTTTTAAAAAACCGGAAAAAGCAGTGTTTCAGGGAATCGTGACAAGAGAGCCACTGAAACTGAGAAAAAGGAGAGGAAAGGAGACCAGAAGTGACCCTGAGGGCACACGTGTGGTCTGTCTGTCCTGCTTAGGTCTCCCCTCTCCCTGAAAGGAAGCAGGTGCTGAGAGCCGGGGAGGCCTTCCTGGGGACATCAGCAAGGTGAGACCCGACCGCTGGAGAAGGTAGAATGGTTGTATCTTGCTGAATGACTGAAGAATAAGTATGCGTTTTGTTTTCAGCGGTATTATTCGCGTCTAACCTGGCAGGTGGCCCTGGCTGTCACCAGTGCTTTGGTGGGATCAACACCAGCGGCTGCTCGTACTTGGGCCGCCACATGAGGACCTGAGAGTCGTTGGTGTTGGGCTTGATCAGGGCGCTGGGCTCATTCTTGCTCAGGATTTTGGGCTGGTCCTGGGCGATGGGCTCCCGGAGCCTGACTCGCTGGCCCATGGGCCCATTAGGGTTGACCTCCATGCTGAGCTGCATGCGCAATGCAGCATCTGTAGGATGATTGTGTCATTGGTGGACGTGTTGGTGGCCACCAGCCAGTTGGTGAAGCTGTGGTCCCGGTGGATGTTGGTGAGCTTGGCCACGTTGCTTTTGCTGACGGGCATGGCCCACGTGACGCTGGAGTAAACGCTGTCAGGGGGAGGGCAGGCTGTGTGCGGGGAGCTAGGGTGGAAAGCCGGGCGGGTGGTGGGGGAGGAGGAGGCTATGTCCGCCCACCATTGCTGCCTCCGCCACCTGGGGACCTGCATCCCCGCAGGGCTGGTGAGCGGGCGGCGGTTCCTGCCTGCGCTTGGCTGACAGCCGGGCTGGGCCGGCGCAGGGGCCGAGTTTCTGCAAAGTTTGACCCGGTTGCCTTTCCGATGCTGCAACAAAGCGAGGCAGAGTGAGGCAGAGCGAGGCAGAGCGGGGCGCACAAGGCGGCTGCGGCGCTGCGGCTGGGCTGAGCGGCTACAGCACGCTCACCATGATCATAAAATAAAGGAGGCGCGTGGGGTGGGAGTCGGAGAGCCCGGAGCCTCAGCCCTCCGCCCCCGGCTTCTCCCGGAAGCCCCGGCCGGCAGAGGGTGGGGGCTGGGGGAGCCCACGCCAGCCCCAAACCCCAGCAGAGCCTAGGTACAGTGCCTGGGGAAGGGAGCGAGGGGGTGGGGGCACCCCGAGAGCCTGCCCACGCGGGGGTTAGGGGCGTCTGGAGGGCGGCAGCCCCAGGGCAGGTGAGTCGGCGGTGCCGCCTGGGTGGGGGCATGCGCGCCAAAGTTCCCCAGCAGCAGCGAGCGCGCCCGACTCGCGGGGACTCGGGGCTGCTCGCAGCTAGAGAGGGTCCGCAGAGGCGCCCGACACGGTGGGGCAGGGGCACTACGCCCTTTGAGGACAGAGAGACCCTGGCCGGGAACGGAGCGCCTGCCGGATCAGACGGCTCTGGTCCTCGGCGGCTGCAGCGAAGCAGGCGGCTGCGGCCGGAGGTGACAGTGGCGAGGGGACGTGGTGCGCCCGCGTCAGGCCCGCACCCTCGAGTGGGCGCAGTCGGGGACCTGTGTTGCACTCCTCCCAGCACCAGCGAGCGGCCAGAGCCCGGAGCTGGCCTCCCGGAAGCGCCTGGCCCGCCGCTGGGTGAACTGAAACTGCTCTGCAATTGACTCGGCCGTGCCCGGCGGGAGCGCCTGCGGAAGGCCGAGGGCAGGAAGTCTAGCTTATGCAGCGAGGGTGGCGCAACCGCGTAGAGACAGAGCCTTCCTTTTTTATGATTTGCCGGCGGCCGTCTGCTTCCTCCGAAGACTTCAGGGAGAGTCTGCGAGCTGCCCTCCCCGGTGTGAGGCAGAGAAGGGCTGGATGTTAGAGCGACATGACTATATTAAACTCCAAACTTTTGTTTTTTAACCCAAGGAATATCGGTGATTTTTGTCCACTGTGAGGAGAAGAAGAGTGAGCCCAGGGCTCTTGAAATGCAGCAGAATCCGTATTTATAAACAGGCCACAGTAATGATATATGCAAACCCCTCTACTCAGTGAGTTTTCTAGCCTATGGCTAACGGTCTTGAGAGTTGAGACTGGAGAGCAGCGCCGTCTGCGCTGGGTCCTGCAGCCTACGTCCTTTCAATGCCTGGTTTTCTCTGTGACTGCTGGCCTTCCCCGGAGTTCAGAGCGCTCCTGTGTGCCATGGGCTGTATTCAGAGCATCGGAGGCAAAGCCAGGGTCTTCTGGGAAAGGATCATGGTGATTGATGTAAAAGCCTCCGTCAACCCTGTCCCCACCAGCATCGATGAGTCCTCCAGCGTGGTGCTCCGCTACCGGACACACCACTTTCAGGCCTTGGCCCAGGTGATCCTGCTGCCCATCCCCAAGAAGGAGACCTGGATGGTTGGCTGGGTCCAGGCATGCAGCCACATGGAGTTCTATAACCAGTATGGTGAGCAGGGCATGTCCAGCTGGGAGCTCCCAGACCTCCAGGAGGGCAAGAGCCAAGCCATCAGTGATTCAGACGGGGTGAACTACCCCTGGTACAGCAGCACCACGGAGACCTGCACCATCGTGGGCCCCACCAGGAGGGACTCCAAGTTCGTTATCAGCATGAATGATGAATGATCTTTTTAATGTGTTGTTGAATTCGGTTTGCTAGTATTTTGTTGAGGATTTTTGCATCAGTGTTCATCAGGGATATGGGCTTATGTTTTTTTCTTTCTTTTTTTGATGTGTCTTT